CATGAAGCACAACTTGTTTAGTTCTGATGGTTAATTAGGAAGTTAACAGCACAAAAGCTTTTCCAACTAACATGCTTGTTGTTAGTATTTCCAACTCCTCAGCAAAAGTCGCTATTGGCTGTCCTAGAAGGCGCCAGAAGGCATCGCCTAATTTGCATATTTCACCTCATTCAGCTACAGGTGATTCCGAATCCCTTTGATTTCTTTTTTTTTCTTTGGGTGTCTGTCAAAGCAGTGCAGAGAGATGTTAGGATTGCTGGTAGCAAACATTTTAAGAGTTGTATAGAGAGTTTTATAGAAACAAGCAAAGAAAATACAGAGAATTCAACCAGTTAGTTACACACTTCATAACAATTGGTGGCAGCAGTGCACCATTAGCTGTTAACCAACCATCAAAGGTCAAAGGTACTATTTAGTTAACAACGTGACAAGTTTATCCAGTGTTTATATTTACAAACAGAACCATATAAACTGCATTCTGCATCCTTGTTGCCAGTAAACTGTAAATAATCCCAGACCAGACTCTGGTTTAATTCATTATTTCTCCTCTAGCACGCTTCCACTCTAGGTTTTCCTTAAGAATTAACAGCCGCTCCGTGGTAAGATGATTATTTTTTTTTACATCCCTAAAGGTGATCTTTACTCTTTATGCTAAACTGTCAATATAAAAAAATATGATGTCTGCAGATTAGCATGAATGGATTTTCTGGATTGAAGCAGCATGATGTAAGAAAGATAGCTGCATACTGACTTAAGGCCCTTCACATACATGGGTGTACTCTGTGCATACTACAGCTCGCAGATTGCATCCCCCAAAGTTGGTCCTCAAGGGCCGCTGTCCTGCAGGGTTTAGAGGTTTTCTTGCTCCAGCACAGCTGATTAACATTGATAGTTGATTAAAAGGCTTTTGCTGAACTGCAATCATCTGAAACAGCAGTGCTAAAGTAGAAAAACCTCTAAAACCTGCAGGACAGCGGCCCTCGAGGACCGACTTTGGGGATGCCTGACACAGCATCAAAAGATGAGGAGAGGGAAATTTGTCTTTTAGCTCTTAAAAAGAAAAAAAGATGATAGATAAGGCCTTTAAACCTGACCAGGGATGAAGAAGGGGAATACATAATATTATATTAGGTATGTTGGTGCCTTTAAGAGTTTGCATTGAGACATACAAAACATAAAACACTGCATGGCTCCTTAATAAAAGCATAGTGACACACCTGTTGACAGAAACAGGAGCGCTGGTTCTCTAGACGCATTAGAGTTAAAATGCTGGTCAGATTTCGAACAAATATAGAAGCATCTAAGTGAGCAATTCAAGTAAAGTTTTTTTTTTTTTTTTTATCATAAACCATCAACCTCCATTGTGGTTAAGTTACAGGCAGACAGGGCACACTGTAAAGTGTTTTAAATCCCTCAGTAGGGTGCTGGTTTGTTAGCACTCTGAGCACCTGTTCTTAGCAAGATATCTCCTCACGTTTCCCCAAACGTAAGTTTGTGTCACCTTGATTTTTCACAAGTTTTTGGAGCACTGACATGGACTTGGAGAAAAAAACAACAGTTGATGATATCTGCATTTTAAAGAAGAGTCCCCTCCCAGGACAGTATTTTTTTTACTGATGTTTTTGCAGAGCTCAAATACTAATAGAAACCTTGAAATGGTAATTACTCTGTCAGAGTTGTGCAAACCCACAGTATTGAGCTGCTGAGCAGAGGAGCTGGTCGACGCGAAGAGCACAGAGGTTATCGGTAGCTCAGGTCTCACACTAACCAAACATCAAAGCCCTTAATTAATGGGAGGATGAATACAAGATGCAGGTTATGACTTCAGCTAATTAGGGAATTGTTGAACAGAGACAGAGCCGGGGAATTCAGTGGGGGGCATGGTTGGAAAAATCAATGGTCAATGGGAAAAGGGAGCATGTAGGCAATTTGCCAGTTAATGTGTTCCCAATATCAGCTGGTGGAGGCAGGGCGCAAAAAGACCATTTTAAATGGACCAACGAAGCTACAAATGCATGTAAACCTTGTTAAAATAAATTTTATTAAAATAATAAGCTTGATTTTACTTTAATATACAGCCAGTAGCATCATTTACTACCATCTGAGTAGCTGAGTGTAAAAAGTCAGAAAATTATTTGATAAATTTAATACAGAAGCAGAATTCATACCAAAAATGTTAACAGTTGTTTTGAGAACAAAAACTATTCCACAAAAAAGTGGCTTTTAAAAAAATGAAAGACTCATCTGCCAACAGCCAGCAAGTATAGATGCTTCTTTAACTTTTTTACCTTACTTTATATTAGAGACTAAGAAACCATGGTAAATGAACCATGAAAAACTTCTTATGTTGCTAATGATGCTTATGTTGCTAATGCTACATGAACTCAAACATACATAAGTCAAATCTTTGTGAGTACTCTCCCCACATAAAAAGTGGTATAAAATTGGTCTGAAGAGCTAAACTCATTATCCTTAGGCATTAATGTCCTTTTTCCCCTTTAAATAGCATCCCTGTTTCCTTGTATTTCGGTTTGGCACCATTGTTTACCCTAGTAGATTTGGACTAAGTTGGTGGAAACATTCTCCTGTCCTGGTTTGACTTTTCCTTTTTGAGGTATGAAATTTGGGGGCTTCTGCAGTGTCCTGCCAAACTTCCTTCTTTCAGAATCATTCTGTCAAGACGCAGAGCCTGGCTAACCATAGCAGCAGTGCGGCTTATTTTAGTGTACACACAGATTCCAAACATTTGAGTTCCTTGCGTTGCCCACACCTCAGCGTGAGCCTGGTGTAATTGGGTGGCTTACCAACTCCATTGTGGGCATCAAGGCTGGTGTACTCAATTGTTCCATTGTGGCCTTTCTTTGGGTTTTCCTTGTATTCTTTATGGACTCCATCAGGACAGTATCTATAGGAGAGCCCATAATCTGCTAGGTAAACCTAGAGCAACCAAAAAGACAAGAAAGACTAACAATGACAACAAATTGGTCAGTTTGCTGACAAACTGCTGAGGTTAGAAAGATGATTGCCAAGACTACAAGGGTGCATGACAGTTTGTTTTAAGAGAAAAATAATGTGACTAACCTGGTTGGGGTTTCTGTAACCCAACATGAGGTTGGCAGCTTTGATGTCTGCATGGACATACTCATTTTCATGAATATACTCCAGAACATCCACCTGACACAGAAACCAAAACAGCAACAACGACTTTCAAAGGTAATTATATGCAAATATTAAGAAATGTAAAACTTTTAGCGGTTAATCTAACTTTAACAGCTAACTAATAACTAATATTTGGATAACTAATAGTCTTATTGATCCAGAATAGCACAGAGAGTCACCATAGTTCACAATGTTTTTTTTTACCAGTCTTTGACCAAGCTGGAGTACAGTGGTCTTTTTCAGTCGGCCTCCGTTGCAGTCACAGATTTTCTGAAGGTCACTCCCCAGCCGGTCCATGGCCATGAAACGATACCTGAATGGAAGAAGAATCAAAATGGCTATCATAACCCGCCATGTTTTCAAAGATAAAGTTCTGCTTGGACCAACTAAAATAAATCAGAACTTTTGACCTCTTTGTCAAAAAGTACAAACAACATTTTTGTTAACAATGAACTAAAACTTTCTACATACTTTTAACTAAACACCATCACATTTTTTGCCCAAGCTGTACAATTACACAGAAAACATTTCAAACACAGAGTTGAGCTAAACTAACAAGTTTGGAAGTACTGTGGATTTTCTGATCCTCACAGCTTCTATTTTGTTTTTTCATGATGTCTTTAGAATAACTACCTGGTTCACACATACAATTGTGTCAAGATTTGGGTCATCTGACTCAGACATTCACATGAAAGAAAGGAAACCACAGACCCAATAGAAAACAAAGCTCAAGTAATAAATGGGGATTTTTAAGTCAGAAAACACTATTACCATTCCAAAAAATCTTGATGAGATTTTGGTTTGTTAGTGCTAATGTCCGAAAAGAAGTGAAACATATTTAATATTACCCCTTCTGCTCTTCAAGCTTTAATACCAACAATCTTCCAGATTCCTAGTTCACTTATGAGTCCATACCACTCCACCTCAACTTGACCACAGATCAAGTGGTATGCTTCTGGATGTTCTTCTTATGTTTTTTATGGCACACTGTAGTAACTTTACATACAGTGCTGGAAAAAAATAATAAAGTTTTGAAGTTTCTCTGATTACATTTTTCTATATGTTCAGGTAATCCCAAAAGTAATTCCTCACCAGGTAGAATGATGTATGCCTTTGTTGGAGCTCAACAGAAACTGGCATGGAAGATTTGTTATACATGTAGAAATGACAGTTATTTTTGGTGTAGTAATATGGCTTCGATTTGAAAGTTGTTTGAATAAATGACCAATGCTGTTTAGGAAGATATTTTAAAGCTGTATTTTTTTTAAGATTCCTTTAAAAAAAATCAACTACTTGTGTAAAACAAAAAAAATCTAGTTGGTCCTTTGATTTAGTGGATGTTCAGCTTTCAGAGGGAATCATTTATTAACTCCTTTAACTACCGTAGGTCCTTATGTTCAGCCAGTCCTGATCCCCAGTATTTTGGGATGCCCAGAAAATCCAGCTTCTTGACTTTCTTCCATTTTTGTACTGAAAGAATAACAGAGAAGTGATTATAGAGGAGGTTTCATAGCAGGGAGCCGGCATCAGTCATCTGGAGTTAGTCAGAAGAAAAAGAAAAAAGAATAAAAAACAGCTGCCAGCTAGAAATTCTAGTTTAATTTTTACCAGCAGTTTGTAATACTCCTTTCTTGGCCTATGCCACCGTTTTCTGACCTTTTTTATAGTATTTGAACGAAATGCCAGATTCTGTAAAAATAAAATATTTTGCTCAAGCAACAGATCTGTCGCTGCATGTTTAAGAATAAGTACACACAAACAGCAGGATGGAGTGTACTAACTCAACTTCAAACACACAACAGGGCCACAGACAAAGCGGTGGGCCTGGCTCAGAGGCTCGATGGCGTCTGGCCTGACTGGCTCTCAACCAGGCTGGCAGGTGGTTAGGGGCTCAGTGGAGGCCCAGGCATCATTACGTGTGAGTGGTTTTCTCTCCTTTGCTCCTCTCAAACTAAGGCGTTGGAGAACTTAGACGAGCGTGGAGAGGAGGCCCCAACTGCCACTGGGGTGCGTGTTTGCTTTGGTTTGTTATTAATTACTATGTGCCAGGCAGCGAAACCTCTGGGTCTGTAGCCACTTCATCAGTCAAACACACTCACGCCCCAATGGTCTGCCAGGACACAGGACAGGTTGTGCTACTCACTGCTATCGGGTTTGGCAGCTCTCTGGTAAAACTTGAGCTCGGAGAACAAGGGGCCGTTTTCCTGGTACTCCTGCAGGCACAAACACAGTGTTGGTCCTTTCTTTATTACAAGCTACAGAATGCATAATACACAAAGCCCTTTGGTGTCTTTATAAATAGGAGTAATTATTTTTAACAGAGTACATAAATGAAATTCGTTCCTAACCTTTTTTCTTCAACTTTATTGCCAAAATATTGACTTTTTTCTATTTTTTCACATTTCAACAAGAAAATTTGATCTATTTCATTAAGCTTTAATGTGATAGATCTCAAAAAGTTACAAAATAAAAGTAAAGTTAGTGGAAAATTATACAACTAAGTTCCAGATAATGACGTGCATGATAGTGTTCAGTACCCTACACTCTGTTACTGATAAACACAATCAAGAACAATCAATTGTTTCTAGAAGTCATTAACCCTTTAAAGCCCGATCCAAGAATAAAACAAAACAGAAAATTACATTTTTTGGGTTTGAAGTCCTTATTTGGCCTTTTAACAAAATATGTAAAAAGAAAAAACAGAAATACATGTTTGATATTAATAAATTTTTTACTATGCGATAAGTCAAGATTATTTTTTGTGTAGTCTTCTGCCCTCTGTTATCGGGTATATCTGATTGTGTAAAATAGGATTTTGAGCAAAGTTTTTACCATTAAACTATGCAAAAGGTGTCAGACGCAAAACATTTCAGAAACCGTATGTATCAAATATGATACATTTGGCATTATAGGGTTAAACAAGTGGACTCTGCGAAAGCCTCAGAGGTTTGTTAGAGAAAATTTGTGAACAAACAGAATCATGAAATAAATAAAAAAACACAACAGAAAAGTCAGGGATAAAGTTGTGGAGAAGTTTCTTAAAACCAGAAATTTTCTTGTGTATCAAAAAGTTTTTTTTTCCATAACATGGAGGAATAGCTTTGCTGAATTTTCAAAAAAGAATCAAATTTTTATTATATTTCGGACAATTTATTGTGCCAGCTGTATCATTTTAAAGATAGGGTATGTTGCTCTGAAAGATTGTCAGACTGTTTTTGTCATAAAGTGAACGGTAACTGTGATATAGCTCTCTGCTTTCAGGGCAATTAACAACCAGTGTTGGAAGCAAAAGTTTGCCATGTAAGGGTTACGGTTAGTTGAACTAAAATGTGTTTTTTTTGTTTATTTTTTAAGAACTGTTCTACTTACAGAACTTGCAAATCATTCCCAAATATACATGTAAAATTGTGATAACCCACAAATCATAATTTTATACAAAAGAAATCATGATATAATATTTTTGTGATGTTACCCACCTGTAGTTATGCCACAGTTTTCATAAAGCAATACCGTGAACCGATAGTTTTGCAATATTTTACTGTAGTTCCATCTCTGGACTCCACAGCTCAAGAATCAAAGACATAAGCCTACAGTGTTCAATAACAAATACACCCGTTTGTCTGGAAGGAGCTGTCGATCAACGGCCTAGCTTGCTCAGTTCTAAGAAAGGAAAGTGCAGTGAAGGGTTGGACTAAACTTTTAAAAAGTAGTGGGAGTGCAGAATGGAGATAAAAAGTTTGCAATTAATAAACAAAAGCACCCCCAAGTTGAATAAGATAACGTTGGGAATACAAAAAAAAAACAAACAAAAAAAACATCTGTTTCCTGTCATGCTAAATGAGAAAGGTTGTTTTAAACTCAAATAACTTATTTTCTTGAATCTTAGTCAAATGGTAAGATCATTAAAACACATTTATGTATATTTTATTTATGATGAGCGCTTTTCAAACACTTGATTTAGATTCATTCTATCAATGTGTTTTTTCTTTAATAAATCTGTCTTGTTTTAGTGTTGTCTTTTTGTATTTTTATTTGTACTGAATAAAAAAACATATAAAAAAATTAAGAAAAAAACATTTTTACAGCAGTTTACAGTTTTCTATTGAGCATGTGAGCCATTTGTAAAGGTTTTACTATGAGACACTGTCTGTAAAGAAAATGGCATAAACTTGAAGAGTTCAAATCATAACAGAGTCTGATCTGGACATTTATTAAGTATTAATATTTCAGAAATTAAAACTATACACAAAATAGTATGTAGGTTCAAGGAATTTGGTTTATATAATATGAAGTATTATACATAAATAACTATTAAAAAAAATAAAACAGCAAACACATGCAAGGTACCTTCTTATTTACTATAACTTATTCCTAATTTTGCACTTATGATTTCTCCATGCCAGCAGATAGCTGGTGAAAAATGTTTGACAAACTTGTATCATTGAATTATAAAAGCTCAAAACTTTCTAAATGTCTAAAGTTTTTGTCTTCTGACCTTGGCAGCCATTTGACTTATTCTTATGCAAACACATAGGAGATGAAAAAATTTGATTTTTTTCTTCTTTTTTTTTTTATTCTAGTCAAATTTTTTTTATCTGGATCTGATTTATTCAAGTTTAGTCAAGTTTTGCTAGGCTAAAACTTAGAGAAAATCAAAACCATTAGATTATTTTAAGCTGCATTCATAAACAACTTTCATAACAAATGGAGTGTGGTATCAGCAGAAGGATTAAAGTCTACAAAAGCTGCAGATTGTTTTGCAAACTCACCACTTTTATGACAAAGTCTGCATCCGGTGCAACAGGTCTGCTTACATCCTGAGATGCTTATCAATGACAAAAAAAAAAAAAAATGGGTAAAAGGAAGCTGAAAATGAAAGTCTGTTTGCATCATTTTTTTTTCATATATAAATTTATATAGATATATATAGTTGGTATATCATTACCTAGATAAATTAAACCAAAGCCTCCTTCACCAATGATTTTCCCCAGCCTCCATTGCTTTTTCTCACCATCCGCCAGTATGAAGCCATCTGGGAGAGGCTTGGGCAGGTTTCGTTTTTTTGGGGGTGCCATTAAAACTGAAGAACAAAAATTCAGAATGTTAGACAATCTTAGACATCCTATTTTAGTTAATTTTGTTAAATTTACAATGAAATAATAAAATTTTTATCTTCTACACAGCTCTTATATTTATTCAATTCAGTTTCTATAGCGCCAATTCACAACACATCATCTCAAGGCACTTTACAGTTCACCAGATCATACAGTCAAATTGATTCAAAGTTTTCTATCTAAGGAAAACCAGGTGATTGCATCGACTCATTGACTTGAATGCAATCCCTCACACTAAGCATGCTTGTAGCGACAGTGGAGAGGGAAATCTCCCTCTTAACAGGAAGGAACCTCCATCAAAACCAGGCTCAGTGTGAGCGGCCATCTGCTGAGGCCGACTGGGATTCAAAGATATGGAGGAGAGATACAAAAAGCAACTGTAAAAGACGGCCCCCGTCCAGGAAACACACAGCCAGACAGATGAGCTCTGAGCCAGCTCAAATGTCAGAGGATGAAGAGAGCACATCCAGCCAGTCCCAGTCAGAGAAACAGGACTACACTGGAAAAACAGGCAGATCACCAACATCTATAAACAAAGGTGTGGATAGCAGCAGCACAGCTGATATTTCTCTACAGGATGGAGTCACAGCCAAACAGAAACAGACGAGGCGAAGCTACTATGAAAAAATGCAGAGAGAGCATACCGTAAAAATTCAAAAAATATCCACTGGACTTGGTTTTCAAGATTTGAAGACGTTTCGCCACCTCTCCAGGAAGCTTTCTCAATTCAAATGTCTGGATCCGCAGTGAGTTTGAGTCTTATATAGACAACGCCTTGTATTGCTTGGAAACATGCAATGGTAACCGATGAATGGGTCGTTAGTTCCATCGTTCCATCGAGAGAGCATAACATTAGAGATTAAAATAAGAGATTCTGCAGAGTGGAAGAATAGAGATAGAATGAAGTAGAATGATGAAAAGAGGGTCCCAATGTCCTCCAGCAGTCTAAGCCGATAGCAGCATAATTATAGAGATAGCTCAGGATGCTTCTACTTCCAAACATGCATTTTATGAGAGTGAAATACAGTATTTAACACAGCATTTTTATAAAATAAAAAAAAATAATAAAAAAAAAGATTAAAAATGCTGAAGAATTAAGAGTGAAAGTAGGCGCAGATTGTTCTGATCAGGGGTGTCGATCAATTTATAGATGACGATAAAGCAGGACATGAAAATACCAGCAATGGCCCCAAAAAGAGCAGCAACATTTCTCTAAGCTGATCATCATCGTAGTATATGTTGCTTATCATAAAAGTTGCATTTAGTTTTACCGGATGTTATGGGTAATGATTTTAAACGCTAAAATGAGGTCAGAGGCAGACCGTTAGCCATATAGATTAATTGTTATAGGCTACGTGTAACCGCTCAGTTCAGTTTAATTGTATCGCCCACTATTCACCATATTTTCTTTGAGTCTTATTACGGTTTAACGGTTTAAACACAAACACCGAGGAAACAGATTAAAGTCTAAGCAATATCGAGTTGCAAAGTAGAAAACACTGGGCTTTAGAAAATGACTCACTTTTTGTAGTTTGCAAACACCTCCGAAGGTTGTAAAACCCAAGCAGCGTTAGTTACTGTTATTACGTACGCCAGTTAGGCGAACTAAACTTTTTGAAATTTTATTAGAGAAGCATAAACAAATGGCCCCTGTACAGGAGGACCGAAAATGAAAACATTTTCCCTTCCCGGAAGTTGTTCCTCCCACAGTAAATCACAGCCAATCACGTAAAGCTAGACGCTTTTGGTTAACCAATAGCGTTCGTAGAGGGTTAAGGGGCGGGATTATCAAGTTATTCTGTTTGATCAACATAACCCTGATTGTTCTATGTAATGATAAAAAAAATTTTTTGTATTTGAACTAAATTATACTTTAAATAATTTTATTTGAAATCCGCTAAAATGATGTGAAGATCTTTTTTTTTTTTGTTCTTCTCTTTTTTTTTTCTTATTAGACCCATTCCAAACCTCTCCCTCTGTTTTGGGCAGAGGAGTCAAGTAACGAAGTACAAATACTTTGTTACTGTACTTATGTACACTTTTTAGGTATCTATTCTACTCTATTACTTATTTTTCTTCCTACTTCTGACTTCTCCTCATTACATTTTAACAAGTATCTGTACATTCTATTCCTTACATTTTTAAAACAA